AGTTTATCTGTTTACTACAATGACAATTTTAGATTATACTACAATGTAAAAGATTGTACCTATTAAGGTTAGGTTAAGCTTTGAGTATTGATTTGACGTTCAATGCACGAAAAAAAATATTAGATATTTAATATTGTACCTATACAAATACAAGATTATATTAAATATATATGAACACACGACCATTAAAAGTTCAACTCATCATATTTTAACTTTTATTATGAGTATTTACCAACCAATGAACAAAATACTTATACTATTTACTACTGACTCAGGTCTACTCTCCTTTAATTGTAAGTTAGATATGTTTATGATATTTAAATGCCCATATAATTTCATAGAAATGCACTTAACCATGCTACATTACCAAATAAACCATAGATCACCTATGTTTACATAACTGATATTGTATACTTAACATTGTGTTTATACAGTCGAGTGAAAGTAATAATATAAATTCTACTGTTAGTTTTTATCAGACATTGTTACTAATACGTTAGTGCAGCATTTCTCTTTGAGTATGGATTTTGACGTTCAATGCACAAACATAATATTATATATTTAATTATTTAGAATTATAAAAAACCTTAATATTGTACCTATTCTAAACTGGACCTAACTTTTAGGTACTTGGTGATGACGCGGATGGAGAGGAGGACGTGGAAGGAGTGGTGGTCCAGATGGACGTAGTGGAAGGAGTGGAGGTCCAGAGAGAGGACGTTGACGTGGTCGACCGTCAGGTGGAGGGGAATGGGGAAGTGCAATTGGCAGAAGTCCAGATGGATAGGATTGAGGACGTTGAGTACGTGGAAGTGGTGGAGTACGTGGAAGTGGTAGAGGATGTGGAGTACGTGGAAGTGGTAGAGGATGTGGAGTACGTGGAAGTGGTAGAGGATGTGGAGTACGTGGAAGTGGAAGTGGCAGAGGAGGTTGAAATGGTCGACGACGGGGTGGAGGAAGTGGAAGTGGCAGATGAGGTGGAAATGGTCGAGGAAGTGGAAGTGGCCCACGACGGGGTGGAGGACGACTTCCCGGTAGAAGATATTGAGTACGTGGTAGTGGTCGAACTACCTGTAGGGCGTGTGCCAATGATAAACCGGCAAGCGGGCGTAACACACCCGGTTCCAGAGCGGTACTACGTGGGTGCACTGGACAGAGTCTGCAGACATTGTTACGCCCGCCACTTCAGTTGCGAGGAAACGTCCCGGGGTCACTTCAACACGTGTTGTAACAACGGCCAAGTGACCGCTGCAGGACAGCACGCGTTGTTGTCAGTCCCCTATTTAATACAGAGTTTATTTATAGATGATTCACAGGATGGCCGTAGATTCCGGGCGGACATTCGGCGTTACAACAATGTTCTGGCATTCGCTGCGTTTACCTGCGACGCAAACGACAGGCGTTTGCCAGGGCGGGGACCGCCGGTGTGGATTGTCCACGGTCAGACCTATCGGAGGACCAACAATGAGGGGGCCGTTGCCCCGGGAAGTGCCAACAACTGTCAGTTGTATTTTTTGGAGTCCGGAGAGGCCAACCACCGGCGTCTCGATATTGCACGACAGAGCAATCATGAACTGTCCGAAATCGTCATAGAAATATTGGACGGTTTGCTGCGGGACATCAATCCGTATGCGATGGCTTTTATGTAAGAAAACTTTAACTATTGTATTTATTAACACTAGGTATGTGAATTGAATAAATACTTTTCACACATACCTTTCTTACGAAATATTTAACTTCAAAAACGGGTTAAATACAATAGAAAATGTTATCAATAAATACCAAGTAAAATGCACTAAATGATATTTACATACCATTATATTACCTACATTAAAATTTTGGTTATATAATACATTTACAAAAACCTATTTTCTATTGGTTAATACTTATTTGTTATTTAAGATACCTAAGGTATAACACATGCAATTCATTTGTTGTTAATACTTGGAGTCAATACTCAATGATATAACATTAAATATGACATAGGGTTCGGATGTTTATGATTTAAGATATTTATGTAATTTCTAAGTAAAAGAGATACATTGAGATACATTTAACAATACATTAATACATTTTAATTCTCTACGCTTATTATACCTACACACAGACACACAAATATTTAAAATATCACTGCTACCAATATGGAGGTAAATGGTTTTAAATTTTACTTTACTATTATTACACATACAATTATTTCTAACAATATCCCACACAGCAAATGGAATATATTAATATTTTAAACACCTTTAATTTGAATGTTCTTTTAAATATTGTGTGTATAATATTTTAAACACCTTTAGTTTTAATGTTCTTTTAAATATTATATGTATAATATTATAAACACCTTTAGTTTTATTGTTCTTTTAAATATTATATGTATAATATCTTAAACACTTTTAATTTTAATGTTCTTTTAAATATTATAGACGCCATATTTCCAATACGTAGGGATTTTATATTATTTTAAACATTATGAAAGCGTCTGCAATATATAAGTACTATAATAATAGGCAAAACTTTACTATTTCCAAAATTGAGAAAATTGAGTTGTATAGGTATTGATTCTTATAGAAAAAAAGGTGGGGAATCGAATATGATGTCATAAAATGTTGACGAAACGTACGCTATATTTCCTTTTTTTAAATCAATATGAAACTCATGAATGACACAAAAGTGACTACTTCCAAATTATGACAAAACTTAGTATTTTTCATGTTAAATAAGTAGGTAGTTTGTTCATTTGAAAAATTGACGTAAAACGTACCGTGCAATTCCTCAAATTGAACAAAACGTACTATTTATCCAAAGTATGCAATATAAATTATATTATTGACCGCATTATAATATATATAATAATATAATTTACGACTCGCGGGTTTCAGCGGTATACTATTCAGCAGTCAGCACGACTACATAATATACATCGTCCATAATAATATATCGCAGTGAAGTGGTTATTGCATATTATATATAATATATAATATATATATTAATTTATTGGGTTAATATAATATATTGTCCACTAATCCACGCGGGCCTTTTTCGCATCGTACTTAAGGGACAGCCAATGGGGAGCCCTCCCGTCGGCGGCGGAGCCGTCGCCGCCTTATCACTCCTCCTTATCGCTTTACGCGATTTTTCTCGAAATTCACGATTTTTTTTTCAAAACTTTCGACTCATACCCCCCTCGGGGCCTCGGTCGGCCCCGTTTGGACCTTATTCGTTTTCCTAGGTAAATTTACAGTCGGCGCGCGGCCCTACTTTTTTCCCGGGGGGCCCAACGCGGCCGATATCGCGTGCGATACGAGCGCCGCCGTCGAGAGCGTTTTTTGCCGTTTTTTTCGAAAATTCGAGTCTTAGGCGTTTTAGGGCGTATCGACCGCCCCATTTGGATCTTATTCGCGTTCCCCTCTAAATTTATATCCTACGCGCGGCCCTACTTTTTCATAAACGAGTCCCCCGGCGGACGAATCGATCGCCGGGAGCGCCGCGTCGTCGCCGTTTCGACGGTTTTCTCGACTTTTTCGACTAGAGTCCTCCCCGTCGGCGACGTATTCGCTTTCCCCGCTAAATTTATATGCGGCGCGAGGTCCTAATTTTTCAAAAACGAGTCTAGGGGAGGTTAAACGTGAGCGGAAACGTGAGTAGGTACCGTGTATGTATCGCTATATACAGGCATAAATACATGCGTCGCGTCGTTTTTTGCGGAGCCGTCGCTGCGTTATCACTCCTCCTTATCACTTATCACAATTTTTTTTCAAAATTTTCGGCTTTTACTCCCCTCGGGGCCTCGGGCAGCGCCATTTGGATCTTATTCGCATTCCTCGCTAAATTTACTATTATAAGTCCGCCGTACTTTTTTCCCTGCGGGCCTTCCGCGGTGGATATCGCGTGCGAACCGAGCGCCGCCATCGCCCGCGTTTTTTGCCGTTTTTTTCGAAAATTCGAGTTTTAGGTGTTTTGGGGCTTATCGACCTCCCCTGTTTACGCCCGAGAGTTTAACCGTAACAGTCGAAGGACCACTCGGTGATGCCCGAGAACAATTTATTGATCAGGAGAGTGTTAGACGTTGCCTGTATCACTCCTATCGCCTACTATTGTGGTTGATAGGCAACCTTAGGTGCTTTCGCCTGATAGTTGGTGGGTAGGCAATTCTACGCACGACGACGACAATGACGAGGATGGGAAAGACCTATTTGTAGGAGTGAGGATGGTGCAGGTTAGTTATGGGGAGGGGGTCTCTGTGGCCGATTCGGTTTGGTGCAATGACCACAGAGCTCACAACAATAGGGATAAAACTTAAAACTACCTTAACCCTACTGCAGTCTTGAGATGACCCACTGGATTAACGCTGTTGGCATTTGTCGACCTGGACGACCTGGGGCGGCCTCTCACACAACGTACAGACCTACGTTGCTGGCGGACTTACGCGCGGAATCTGACGGCACTGACGTTGACAACAACGAGTTTACTAGCGGACCACACACACCATTCACGGATCGCTATACTAGCAGATCACAACAAATAATATTTATATGAATAATAATAATAATAATGATCGCTATATGAGAGGATCACACAATATAAAAAACAAACAAAACGTATGGACGCTGTAATAGCGGACCAAAAAAAACACGAATAATAATAATTGAATAATTGAATAATAACAATACAAAAAAGAAAAGGGCGTTGGCCGCAACAATAATAAAAACAAAAACAAAAGTTTTATCTCATAGAGATAACATTGACAACAGTTGTCTGAGGCAAAAGGCCGACAGATAATTTTTATAAGAAAAACAAAGAGAGTATATACAATATGAAGTACAACAATCGTACAATTATTTTAATTTGCATAATCGTTGCTCTATAGTAACGGCAAGAGATACTGGATGAGTGGACGGAAGAGGAGGGAAGATGTCGCCGTCGCGCAGATTAGCGTCCCGCGATAAGCAATAATTGCTTGGCGCGAACATCACCGCCCACTTTGAAGGAATGTTCCTTCAAGACATTGGGAGTGGACAGAGCTTGACAGCTGGGCGTGTCAATGGTCCAGAAGTAGTTTCTAAAGTGGCCACTCTGGAAGTCCCATCGGAGCCAGGATGGAGTTCACGTATTCGTCCAATCCGCCACTGAAGAGGATGCGTCGCTTCTTTCACGAGGACAAGCTCGCCAACGCTCAAGTTTTGACCTGGTTCTGTCCATTTTCTACGAAGTTGAAGACTACTGAGGTATTCGTTCTTCCATCTGGTCCAGAAATGATGATGTAAATCAGTAATGAGGCGCCATCGCTGGTACTTTGACATAGGTTGATTGACAAGACTTGGTTCTGGAAGCGAGGTGGAAGGTTCAAGAGTCAAAAAATGACTGGGCGTCAACGCTTGTAAGTCACCAGGGTCGTTGCTGATAGCACACAATGGGCGAGAATTCAATGTTGCCTCTATTTGAGTGAGAAGTGTCAAAAATTCCTCACTTGTCAATTTGTGCAATCCAATAGACCGAATAATTAATGACTTTGCGGATTTTACTCCGGCTTCCCACAAACCACCAAAATGGGGAGATGCGGGAGGATTGAAGTGCCAAGTTATTTGGTGTTTAGCGAGGTGCTGATGAACACTGTCTTGAAAACTTTTCGAATGAGTGAATTGATGTAGGGGTGTCAATAATCGTGACGCTCCGACGAAATTTGTCCCGCAGTCACTGTGTAATTCCTTGATGGGTCCGCGTCTGGAAGAAAATCGAGTAAATGCCATCAGAAAACATTCTGTGGACAAATCCGAACTCAGCTCTAAATGGAGCGCTTTTGTGGTGGTACAAACAAACAGGCAAATGTATGCTGTCTTTGGAATCGACCTTCGTCCACGTGCTTCCTTCAACGTGACTCGTCCAGCATAATCCACTCCGGTTATTGCAAACGGTTTCACTTGCTGCACCCGAAAACTCGGCAAACTGGCCATCTTTGGCTGAACAGCACGGGGCCTGGTGCGGAAACACGAGATACAGAGCCGTATCCGAGATCGAATAATCTTCCGTACAGACGGTATCCAAAATTCACGTTGTAGATGCGCTTGAAGGGATGCGCATCCGGGATGCTTCAGTCGCTGATGATGATAGTCAATGAGTAACAACGTTAATCGACTTTGACATGGCAAGAGAAGTGGATGTTTGTGAGAGTACGGAAGATCAGCATTCGTGAGACGCCCGCCCACTCTGAGAAGTCCATTTTCGTCAATGAAAGGATCCAACTTCCTAATGGCAGGGGAGCAACGCAATCCGTTTTTTAACGAAGATATGTCTTCGGAATATGATGTTTGTTGGACAGAATACACTAAGCCCAACAAGGCTCGTTCTCGTTCACTCGCATTAACAATCTGTGTGAATGCAGAAGGACGTGATTTCGAGAAACGAAGACAGTAGGCGACAATGTGAAGAATTTTATCGAACGACGAGAAACGATGCATCACATCAGTTATTGAGCATGTAGTCTTGGTTAGGAAAACAGTACATTTTCGAGCTTCAGTGGAAACATGAGCATCTGTGTTGTCTGAACGAGGGACAACGGTTGGCCAATGTTCCGGTGATTCTACCAAGAACGCAGGGCCTGTCCACCACAACGGGTGATCAACAAGTTCCGACGGGAACAGTCCACGAGAGGCACAGTCAACCGGATTGTGCTGCGTGGGGACGTGATGCCAAATGTCTGGTGAGGTGAATTCATGAATTTGACTTGTTCGATTTGCCACGAACGTGGCCCAACGATGTGGTGACGATTGTATCCAAGCTAACGCAGTGGTTGAGTCCGTCCAAGCATGCAGCTCATCGATTTGAAGACTCTTCGAGTAAGTATCAGCAACGAAACGTAATAGTTTGGCGGCTAATACAGCTCCACACAGCTCAAGACGTGGGATAGTAGACTTTTTTGGAGGTGCTACTTTAGATTTACCTGTTACAAGGTGACAATAAGCTGAAGTAGCTGTTTGTGTTCGAAGGTAAACTGCCGCCGCGTAACCTTTCTCTGAGCTATCCGAGAAAGCGTGAAGTTGCACTGTGGTAGCTTCTTCAACTGTTATACGACGAGGGATAGAGATCGATTCAATCAATTTCAGTTCTGATTGATATCGGGTCCACACTTGAGCAATATCTGTGGGTATTTTGTCATCCCATTTGAGACCAGCGGTCCAGAGCAACTTCATGACGTGTTTTGTCCAGAACGTAATGGGAGACAGCAATCCTAACGGATCGAAAACTCTGGCAATGTCAGAGAGAACTGACCGCTTTGTCGGGTCAGTTGACGATGGTTTTGTATCAAATGAAAACACGTCAGCTCTCGGATCCCATTTCAAACCCAGGATTTTTAAGTCACATTCATTTTTGTCATTGTACAGGAGGGCTGGAGACATTGCTTGAGCTTCTGCATGAACAGCGTGTAAGATATTACTGTTATTGCTGGCCCATTTTCGTAGCTCAAACTTGGCTAACGAACACAATTGTATAAGCTGCGACTGATATTCAAGGGCATCCTTCTCGGTGTTAGCTCCAGTGAGAATATCATCCACGAAGGTGTCGTTCAGGAGAATTGACGCAGCGATGGGAAATAATTTTCCATCAACGATTGCCAATTCCTGAATTGTACGAAGAGCTTGATATGGTGCCGCTGATGTGCCGTAAGTGACCGTACAGAGACGGTATTCCTGCACTGTGTTATTTTTCGAAAATCTCCAGAAAATTCGCAGGTAATCTCGATCTGCAGACCGCACCACAATTTACCGATACATCTGTTTGATGTCTGTCATGAATACATATTTCCACAACCGTGCACGGAGAAGAACAATTTGAATGTCGGGCTGAAGCTTCGGACCCGTATACATGCTCTCATTCAAGGAACACCCAGCACTTGTACGAGACGAAGCATTGAAAACTACACGAAGCTTGGTGGTGCTACTGTCCGGTCTAAGTACACAATGATGCGGAATAATATAATAATGAAACACATTGTCTGTGTTTTCGAGTGGAACCAGCTCCATGTGACCAGCGTCCAGGTAGTCTTGCATGAAGTCTGCGTACTGGCGTTGAAGGTTCGGATCATTGTTCAGTCGGTTTTCGAGTGCCTGGAAACGGCGAAGGGCAACAGATTTTGAATCACCTAACAGAGGTGATGCTTTTCGAAATGGAAGAGATACCATAAACCGTCCAGTACTCAGCCGAGTTGTTGTATTTTTATAAATTTCCTCGGCAGCACGCTCATCTGGACTGAGATGGCGAACAACAGGTAACTCTTCAAGTTCCCAGAAACGCCTGATAGACAAGTCAAGAGTTTCAGAAACAGATAAACACATAGCGGTGACAGTTGACCGAGCACTAATGTCGATAGGTCCCATCAGAATCCAACCAAAAACAGTCTCGAAGGCAATGGGCTCGCCAGGCTGGCCTGTGGCTTTTCCATTTAGAAGTAGCATTGGCAAGATATCGGCCCCCAACAAAAGATCAACTGCCTGAGGACGATGGTATAACGGATCAGCGAGGGAGAGGTTTTGAATATGTCTCCATTGTCCCGGCACAATAGGAGCTTGTGGAGTTGGTTCTGTGATTTGTGGGACGATGTAAGTGTCCACGCAAAACGACGGTGCCTGTTGGCCACGTGGCATCACAGTGATGGTTGTTTGACCACGGACTGGGGATGTTGTACTACTGGCAAACGTGGTAATGGCTACTGTCGAATGATGTCGCTTTAGCATCAACACACACGCAGTTTTTTCAGTTATAAAACTCGCTTGAGCACCACTGTCGAACAGGGCTCGAATTGAATGACGGGTGCCATCAGCAGCGACCACATCGAGTAGGACAGTTGAGAGTAAGACTACGTTCTGAGGCTGTCCTCTGACAATCATTGCTTTGGCACTCTGACCAGCCTCGGGTTGGTCTACTGAGAGAACCGTGGACGAGGAGGGAGGCTTCTCCTTTGAGTCAAAGTGAAGCAAACTATTATGAGACCGATCACAAGTTGTGCATTTGTATTTTGAAGGGCATAATGAAGTAGCATGTCCTGTGCCCAGACAATTTATGCACAAACGGTGCGTCTTGGCTAACTGGAAACGATCATTTGGTGATTTTGAAAGAAAAGTTGGACACTTTCGGACCGTATGTGGTTTTGTACATAATGGACAGGTAACCACGGTGGATGAGCTGGTAGTAGCAGCTAGAACCTTTGGTGCAATCGGGTGACGAGATTTGGAAGTCAATGATTTTTGAGGAGGTTTTTGCTGAGACGTGAACGACGTCAGACTCGACGAGTACTGTCCAGCACGTGCTTCCGCGGATCGTACATGACTTCTGAGAAATTCAAGAAAATCGGCAGTCGACGGTTGATGTCGGTCACCCACAGTTATCTCCCAACGCGCTCGGAGGTCATAATCCAAATGATTTTCAAATATGTGGACCAAAATTGGGCTCCACTGCCTCGTAATAAAGTCCAAATTATCCAAGGCAGCAGTGTGCTCTTGAATAGATGTGATTAGAGTTTTAATTGAAGACGCGTCGTTTGCCTTGACTGTATGTGGGGATAACAGAGCATCCAGATGGATACGAGCTAAGTCACGCTTATTTCCGTATCGCGAACGTAATACTTCCCAAGCCTTTTGGTAGTTTACCGATGTCAAAGGAATATGTGCGATAAGCGTCAAGGCCTCACCTTCCAGCGAAGTTTTTAAAATCTCGAATCGCTCGACGTCCGTAAGATCAGCTGGGGCATGGGATAGAATTGACGTGAACAAATCTTCGAAACCCTGCCATTCAGTCAGAAGTCCAGAAAATGTAGGAAACTTCCGTGTTGGAAATTTGTAAGTTGAGAGGTTTCCGAAACTGGCTGAATTATTTTGTACTGACTGACAAGAGGATGAGTCGACAATTTGAGTCAATGGAAGGTTATAAACATCTGCAAACGCAACCAACTCGTAGTACAAATTATCAAACTCAGCAGAGAGCTTGAGACTAATAGAGTTATCTACCACTTCAATTGGTGCTAATTTTTTGCCAACAGAAATCTCCATAACTTGGATGTCGGATTCTGCAGTCAAGCGAATTTCTTTCAGCTCCAATAGCATGGCTGAAATTTTTGCTCGTTTACCAGGACTATTTTTATCAGATGAAAACTCGCCGGCAGCCTTGACAAAGGCGCTGACTTTTGCAATGGCACGAACCATCCGTGCCTTTGCATCGACATACGTCATCGAAACTTCAACAACCATGATGACAGAAATACAATTTGGTCGATACTAAAATTGGACGACAATGAATTAAATTCGATATGTCATGGTAGTGTAATAAACGAAGAAAATATAATGAACGTGTATTCGTTGGTCACGGTTTGTAGGTACATCCGGCCCGAAGGACCAAAATGTTTACGCCCGAGAGTTTAACCGTAACAGTCGAAGGACCACTCGGTGATGCCCGAGAACAATTTATTGATCAGGAGAGTGTTAGACGTTGCCTGTATCACTCCTATCGCCTACTATTGTGGTTGATAGGCAACCTTAGGTGCTTTCGCCTGATAGTTGGTGGGTAGGCAATTCTACGCACGACGACGACAATGACGAGGATGGGAAAGACCTATTTGTAGGAGTGAGGATGGTGCAGGTTAGTTATGGGGAGGGGGTCTCTGTGGCCGATTCGGTTTGGTGCAATGACCACAGAGCTCACAACAATAGGGATAAAACTTAAAACTACCTTAACCCTACTGCAGTCTTGAGATGACCCACTGGATTAACGCTGTTGGCATTTGTCGACCTGGACGACCTGGGGCGGCCTCTCACACAACGTACAGACCTACGTTGCTGGCGGACTTACGCGCGGAATCTGACGGCACTGACGTTGACAACAACGAGTTTACTAGCGGACCACACACACCATTCACGGATCGCTATACTAGCAGATCACAACAAATAATATTTATATGAATAATAATAATAATAATGATCGCTATATGAGAGGATCACACAATATAAAAAACAAACAAAACGTATGGACGCTGTAATAGCGGACCAAAAAAAACACGAATAATAATAATTGAATAATTGAATAATAACAATACAAAAAAGAAAAGGGCGTTGGCCGCAACAATAATAAAAACAAAAACAAAAGTTTTATCTCATAGAGATAACATTGACAACAGTTGTCTGAGGCAAAAGGCCGACAGATAATTTTTATAAGAAAAACAAAGAGAGTATATACAATATGAAGTACAACAATCGTACAATTATTTTAATTTGCATAATCGTTGCTCTATAGTAACGGCAAGAGATACTGGATGAGTGGACGGAAGAGGAGGGAAGATGTCGCCGTCGCGCAGATTAGCGTCCCGCGATAAGCAATAATTGCTTGGCGCGAACATCCCCGTTTGGATCTTATTCGCGTTCCCCGCTAAATTTTTAGCCGGATCGCTGCGATACTTTTTCAAAAACGAGTC